GAGGAGGGGGAGGAGGGGGAGGAGGGGGGAGGCATGGAAAAAGACATTCAGTCAATTACAGAATCGCGTGTTTATGAAGGTAGGAAATGCATTTCCTTGATGCTAATACTACTCGGCTCACTCTATCGTATGATTGGCTACAATAAAGTGGTGCACCCCTCCCCATCTCGGATTATATTGGAGAGGCGTTTTCCTGGAAGGGGATTTTCTGGGCCACATTTGAAGTCATTTTACTTATAATGAAACCTGTTCTCACTACAGCAGTTGTCCTATGTTTGATACTATGTTTAAGGAATATATCCTATGGATACATTAATCAGCAGGTAAGATGACTCCCTCGGTTAATACACTTGATCACACAGGCTCTAGTAGTTAGAAAGCCGCCAAAATTACATATTCTTTCACTTTCAAACAGTTTTCCTTATTTTCCACTGAGTATTGTTTTATATTTTGCCACTGAATTACTGTACAAATCAAAATATCGACATGCACCGTAGTTAATCAGAATTCAGATTCCATTTCAATTAATAGAGACTAACCAATTAAATTTATTACTGGATATGCGTAGTAACGTAATAGTCTTCGTTGATTCCTAACCCACTTATTTCTTGATGATCGGTAGAATATATCTAATTAAAGTATCCGAGGATTTAAAAAATAACATCTTATGTCAAATTTAGTAGTTAAAACAAGAAATTTTTAGTCTTCAATACAAAATTATATCAGGAACATGAATATCGACTTGTTTACTAATAGGGTAAATTGCAGCGAATTTTGCGATTTTCGCGTAACTATTTTACTGCCAATAAGTTCAAATTTTAGCATTTTAATTGAAATTAATTTTTAAAAATTAATTTTCCCTCAATTTAACAAGCAAATACTAAAATGGATTCTTTAGTTTAGTGGGTTAAATGTGATAATACATGATTCGAGAGAAAATTGAAAAAAAAACAAGTTAATGGTGACTTTCCATGAATCAATAGTTGTGCAACAAATATTTCAATTTTGGCCTTTTGTTAAGCACTTGAAACGTGGCTTGAGGTCGTGTAAGACAGTAAACACGATTCTTCAACATGGGGAATCATACCATCCCGATTGCAATACAGAGTGCCTCTGTGATGAAGGTGTACTTCTTTGCAAAGATGTCTGCGATGGAAACTGCCACTCCTGTGGACAAGCTCATGTAAATACTCTCTACCAACCTCCTGTCCAAGGTACGAGAACACACAAGATTGTTTCGATCACTTAAGACAAGTTTTTCAGTTTTTTGCAAAAATATGTTCCAAACTCTTGCTTATTGTATACGACTTCATTTTGATATATATATATATATATATATATATATATATATATATATATATATATATATATATATATATTGAAACTTACGTATTTTTTAATTTAAGAATTGCAACCTTTTGGAAAACGTGAATATAAAGAATTAATAACATTCGCCTGGGTAATGATACGTGCCTTAATTTGTATATAATGCTATCGTAATCAGAGATTCCTTTGCTATTGTGCTAAGCAATAATGCCTATGGGGAAGTCAAAGTGCTCAATCATGATAGAATTTGAACCTGTAAATAGAGGTCCTCCTACTGTTAACGGTGGTGTTTACGGTAATATGTTGTCAATCGATTGTCAGGAATAGTGGAGTTCATTTCAGAGAGTCGAAGTGGAGGAGAGGGAGGAAGGGGGGGCGGATTATCGGTCGCTTCCCTCATTATAAGAGTTTATCTGCATTAGTTTAATAATTAATCATTAAAAAATGAAGCCTATCATTCAAAACAATACAAACGCCGCAATTTTAGCATTAACTCGAGAAACCTTCACACTTTTACCGGCTAATAATGAGAGGCGAAACCAATTAATGCGATAAAATAATAACTATCACGGGCGTTAAGAAAATGTTCAAATATTAAATTCTGATTGCATTAAAAGAAATTGAAATAATACTGACTTCTCTTTTTTTTAGTTTCTATCGATCCGCATTTCCATGGTTAATGATTTTAGCCTATCGTTTTAGCAACAGATCAATAAAATAATGAAAACACGAAATTATTGGCATATTGTTAGACTAATTGACATTTTGACCGCCTACAGAAAGTTTGTGCAAATCTCAGCCCCCTATGACAACCCAGTGGACCCCCTGCAGCAAAACCTGCGGTCTTGGAGTATCCTTCCGTATATCAAATAACAACACAGAATGCCGCAATCAGACAGATACTCAACTTTGTCATTGGAAACCCTGTAAAGAGGTATGAATGAGCCTAAATACTGGATCATTTTATTAACAATTTCTTACTATATATTTAACTTTTAAATATTTATACCGTTAAGTCAGATCAGCGAAAAAAAATATCTTTTTTATGTAATGGCAACAATATTATTAAAAACATTAATTTATTTATAAAAAATGGCAGGCGTTTTGATAGTTGTCACTAGCCCTTTAGTTAAAGCGTTTTGATGGTTATCATTAGCCCTTTATTTGACTTCTGGTGGCTTCACAGAGGGGAGGAACATCAAAGTGAGAAAAATTCAAGAGGGGGAACCACAGAGGGGAGGAGGAACATCAAAATGAGAAGAATTCGGAAGGGAGAACAGAAGAGTGATTCGCAGATGTAAATGAAACAGACTAACACCAGGGCACAGATAGGGTAAGACGAGTACTATGAAAGTGATTGAATATGACATACAGTGAGAAGTCAACTGCCGGTTAATAGACTTTTTTGCCGTATGAGTATACGTTGCCCAGGGTCCCCCACGAGGAGGTAAGTCTATCCCACACCCCACATTATTAAAAAGTTATCACAGGGTATGAATATGCATGGCTACTGTCATGTTGTTTTCATATTAAAATAGTTTGTGCATTTTTTTACAATATATTTGCAACTTCTTCTGTTTTAAAAGATTCCGTCTCGTCGCTGCGCTCCCACAAAACGAGTTAGACAACCGCAGACATTCCGGCTTGTCATCGTAGACAACGGGACGAGGCAGGTTTCAACAAGCAGTGGAAAGCAAGGTATAACAGGCGACTCCTCGAGTAAAGCACCGTCTATCGTTGTTTGCGAAGGTGTCCGAAAGTACCGTCCGAAGTACTGCGCACCTTGTGATAACCCCGAAGCCCGCTGTTGCGTACCAATACTCACCAAAACGGCACGAATTAGTTTTCGCTGCTCTGATGGTCGATTAGTGCAGCATAATCTGGAGTGGATCAAAAGATGCGCGTGCCACCCATCTTATTGTAAATACATATATCCCCACCTTTAGTTCGATTACGGCTGATTAGTAGTATAGACAAAAAAAATACAAATATTTCTTAATGCAACTTTTAATAAAATTATCCCCAAAGACGAATATGAAAAATAGAAACGAATTTAATTATTACCCTTTTTCAGTTAATTAACTTGCAATGCGTAATAGTTGACGTACTTCTAGCACCCTGTTGTAATTCACAACGGAAAGTAAACAAAAATATTTTTTTAAACATTTATGATATTGTATAGGAAATTCTCCGATATTTCATAAACTTTTAAATTTGGTCCTCCTTAGAGGATGCATTAGATGAGATTTTAAAATTCTCTACATATTTTGCATTAACAATTTTTAGTTGCAAGTATTAGATTTACTGAAACAAGGCAGCTAGAGATAGAGACAAGCTTTCTGCTTCCAAGACCCTTCCTTGTGTTGATTTCATATCCTGACTTAAAAGAATTGACCAAAGTGGTTGGATCTTCAAACCTCTGTTACTTTCATTCGTCAAGCTTGCCATTCATATGAAGCTTTGGTTATGAAAGAACTATTCCGGTATGTGAAAGAGGAATATTGTAGGGTATTGCCCATTCTAGGTTCTAGAAGAGTATTATAAATCTAAACCTATAAAAGAGTAGTGATAAATAAATGTTCGGGGTAATTATGTATGCCTTGCAGAAAAAATGGAAAGGATGCCATCATTAAGTCGATTAAAGTTGGTCTATTCAAAAGGTAAGAATTCCTCTTATCGCCGAATTGCAGTTGCCGGTATGTGAAATAGATGAAGTTTGAAGATATTTCTGCATTAAGGTTCCATCAGAGGATGTGTATCGTCAGTCGGCTTCCAATTTCGCTGTCATATGGCCCAAATTAAATTGTTAAATAAAACTTACCTCATAAACAAATTTTTCGATCTGATGCATTAAATTAAAAAAAATATTAAGGGTAGAGGAGTAAGCAAACACATGCCTAATAATTAAAGCAAATTGTTATGTTACGTGGAAATTATAATAGATAAGTAAGATGTATGTATAAATTACACTAATTTGATACATGACGATTCACAAAGTATTTCCTTTCAGAAGTTTCAAGTCGGATGAAAATTGATTAAAATAATTTTATTTCAATAAGTCAAAAGTTTAATTATCTTTTCTATAGTGAATCATTTCTCTGGATTTAAGTAGGCAATACCAACTCTACATTTTGTATATTCATCAGTGACTGAAGTGGCAATACGGCATTTTCATGCACATTGCCTAACCTTATTTTGAATTTGTATGTCATGGACTGGGTGCACAAAGATGGAATGATTCAAGTCATTCATTTCACTAGAAAAGTTTGGAAATAACAAGGAATATCAGCTAAACCTATTGATAGAAATCTGGGCTTATATACAAACATTCTTTTGGAAGAAGTCGGTCGTATTTGATCCCCAAAGTCATTTTTGTGAGGATTAGCGACTTCACAGGCATCTGTTCACGCACTACTGGAGCTCTACGAATGTCATCGAAATCTAATTGTCTCTGGTCACTAAGTATCGACTGACAATTACTGTCTGTGGCAAGACAATAAGAAGATAGTCTAAAGCTTCGGTTTGAATGCGAAAGATATTCAGTTCCTCAGCAAATTTGTTTTTGAACATACACAACTAAGTAAAATCGCGTGAACTAGATGTATTCTTAACAGCAAAATTGGAAAATGATTTTATTGAAGGATATAGTGGACAAATGGGATAAAAGTGGTTTAAAATTAATTGAAGTTCAGAAAATATTTCACGTAGCAAATCAAGACAAAAAATTGACATATAAAATGCATTAGCGAAAAGTTAAATAAATAAGAAGATTTAAAGTACGAGGTTACTATTTTATTGTGGTGTAAAATAGGGACAATTGGTTCACGCAACTAAAGAACTATAATATCTGGAAACTTGAACGAATAGGTTCTAAATGTGTGGCACTAATTAGTCAAGTTGTCAATAACGATATTTGTTTGTGATAAGAGTTACTATCGACCGTTTAGTTGATAATAATTCCATCACTGTGGATGAAAATTCATTAAAAATCATGTAAATTCTGCAACTGCTAATGGAGACATTAGAAGAAGTGATAATAAACGAATAATAAAAATTAAATAAACAACAATTATGTAAAAAAATAATAGATAAAAAGTCACAAAAAATTTAGTCTTGTTACTGCATAGTTAATAAATGTGCAATACCACAAATATTAAAACAGTGATTCATTTCAAATAAATTTTTATAAATAATAAATGTCCTTCACAAAAAACATTTTCCCGATTAAGAGACCAAATAAAATATCAAATTATTTGACATAAAATGTTGATTAATAAGTTTATTTTTCTTAAATGAGTCATTTTGTTCAACGTCCTTTAGTAGTTTTACTTAACAGATTATATAAACTTATAAATAGCGCAACGTTTAATATATTTTTCGAGGAATGTCTTCACAGGTGCTTATTCTTCAGCCACATAGCTCTTATTTATCTGCATTCAATGAGTATTATTTAAAACCAGCATCAGGAACCCTATCCACTGCAGCGATCACTGGAATAGCTGTTGGCGGTATGCTGTGATTATTTATATTATTTTTAAACCCATAAATAGAGATATATAGTCTATTTAACTATAAATGTTTGTCTTTGTATTTCTATAGTTCGAATTTATGACTATTGTTACTTATCTTTATTAATAAATTCTATTTCAATTTTAGTTATAGCATTTGTTCTTCTTGTAATCCTTATATTCATAATCGTCTATTGCTGTCGGCACAGACGAGCGGGTTACAGAAGTGCTTATGATACAGATGAAGCTTTTGGTAATTGTCAAATCCCAAATGCTGATGCCGCTCTTCGGAGTAAAACCAACGGTCATCCTGATGTGAAACCCGAGTTATATATTTGACCTCATCCTAACTACCATCCTCTGGTTTTGCATTTTATAACTTCACTGAAATTATCACAGATCTCAAAATTCTCTTCTTGACAATCTCCCACATTGTACATTTTGATTACCTTGTATAGCTTGGATTAGGCGATCTGCGATCTTTTCTAACTTCGGTAATTTGTCTATTTCTACTTCCAATTTGTCTTGCATTCATTCCCCCAAGAACGAATTATTTGTCAAGTATTGCACAAATGTCGGCACTTTAATATACGATTCTCTCAGGAAAAGATGTAACCTATTTTCCAAGAAATTATGTCATTTCGAAAACCGCATTTCATTAACCTCCCCAACCATAACATGTGAACCACTGATATTATGGGAAAGTCGCAAAATTACAAATCCAAATTTTTGTCGGCATTGTCATTTGTAGAGAAAGAATTGGCTTTTGAAGAATAGAAGATAGTTTTTAAATACTCCAATATTTTGCTCTCTAAAATCGAACTTGCATGAAATGTCTTTAAAACCCGTTCAAACGCCCCCTGTTAAATGGGAAAATATTGTAATACAAATGTAAATAATGTGAAGAATTGAAATGAAAAATCTTATGACGAAACCCAAAGAATAGTTTCTGTTAAAATTAGGGTTTTCCAAGGAGTTCAGCATTTCATATAGCAGGAGGCAAAGTCGAGTACGAATAGGCAATGAAGTCAGAATACCATAAATCCCACTTTCTTTCAATCCAGAAGCAAGTAATCATCCATTCTCACTTCGAGAGCATAGTTCACCGTGTAGTATCCTGCCGTTCATGACATCGGGTTCAAGGCTCGTTCAAATCATTTCTTTCGGCTAAGATTGGGTAGAAAAGATATGTTTAACGAAATTCAATAATCAATTGAATTTTCCAAAATATTTTTTATATGAAAATATGCCAGCACATCCCCCAACCCCTGTCTTTATTCTTTTGACTATTCTCCTGTTTTGTAATAATTAGCATTTTAAATAACATTCACATTATATTGCTTATTTTTTGTTTCCATGTTATATATCGACTTGCAGAGCTTGATCTACCATTTTTCTAACTGTCGCTTGAAATTGCCAACATTGTCAAATTCTACCAATCTGGAATACTTTACATGAAATTTGATATTGGAATTATATTAGACAAACGTGGGGTTCAGATTAATGCTTCTCTTATTGCCGGTTGTTCGTTAATTTCCCATTGTTATTAAGTTGTTTGACTTTCCATTCATTGTCACCGCCTTTGTTATATTGATTCGGCCACATTTGTTGTTACTTTGCTGGTGTGGTACTAAAGGCTGAATTCCCAATTCGCAAATCTGATCTCTGTTTGTGAAAGAATCCAAAAGGAACAATATTAGAAGTTTATTGAAATTTATTTATTTGTTTATTCAAATTACCCACAATTACAGCATCTAAGGTTATAGGAAATATTTATTTCAAATGGCAGGCTTTATGACAGTTATCATTAGCCCTTAAGCTGACTTCATACCTCACAGAGGGGAGGAACATCAAAGTGAGAAAAAATCGAGGGGGGGGGGACAGAAGAGTGATTCACAGATACAAAAGAGACAGACAGACACAAATGCAGAGAAAAGGTAAGGTGAGTATTGTGGAAGTGGTAGAATAGGACATACAGTGGGGTGAGGGTAGTTTGAAGTTAGAAGTCAACTGCCAGGTAATAGACTGTATGAGTATACGTTGCTCAGGGTGCACCACGTGGTGGTAAGTCTATTGCACACCCCAAATATCGAATTTCTTGGACTGAGGAGTAGCCCTCCCTTTTGCTATGAGCAAATTGTATTCTCCGAATCTTTTACTTGATCCAAAGTGTTCAGTGTGCATGACCATTCACATCACTCGATGATCACAGGTGTGTTGTTGGAGTCCATCACATATATTTTCATACTACTGTAATGAAAAATGTAATATCCAATTACTCATACATATACTCATACTCATACGGCAAAAATGTCTATTACCTGACAGTTGACTTCTGACTTCAAACTGCCATGACCCCCCTGGTTTTCATTTTCGACCCCTTCCACAGAACTCACCTTACCTTTTTTTACTCCTCTTAGCATATCAAACTTATCTTATCTTGGTTAGTGAAAGAAAAACATTAGATCGGATTGGCACGTCCTAGCAATTAATTAATTAATTAATTCAACTGGTCAATACATTCTCCATGCCAAGGGCGTGTAATCACCTAGGTAGTTGGAATCAACTCATGACATATTAAGCAATGTGGAAATCTTTTTATAAACTGGTCCGGAGTTGAAATGTGCTATGAACTTTGACGCTATAATGATGATCTTAAAAACTTCCGTCTGAAAATTCTCTCCACGTCGTTCATTGAACAATCCCCACTTCTGCACCTATAAATGCTTTCCGACAGGTAAAGCGATTTCAGTCATTGAACTCAAATTTTAATTGGCTAAAAAATCAAATCGAATTGCGATTTACAAGTTGCGCATTTTATGTGGGGTAATACTGGTTATAGAATGCCGAAATCAGGAGAAACGTCTATGAGTAACAAAACTCCTGAATAAAAGTAAGAGCGAAATTAACCTCTCAACAATAATTTCAAGGCTGATTACTGATTAGCTAAGTATTAGTCAGAAGGGCGTAATATTTTCCTGTTGTCACCAAGCAACAGATTGCTATGTTGTACGAGTTAGGCGTCATTTATTGCAAATTAGAAGGTTAAAGACGTATACTCGGTAATGATTATTTTGTCAGTCCTAATTGCCTTAATAATATCTATTTAATTACGCCTTGATTAAAAAAATTATTGCTTAACATTTTCAAAGGAAAAAATAACTATTCCAGATAAATATTGACATTGTTATAAATGATTTGACTATTTTATTTTCAATTTGATGATGATTTGTTGTCCAAGACTACTTTCGCTTCCTTTAAAATCCAAAAAAGTTCTGAAAAATAGTGTGAAGTTCGCACTCCTAATATGATTAAACTGCGCGCCCAATCATTTTGAAGGGTGCGGCGTACAGTGGACTTCTCAGGCAATCAGCTGTTAAGGTTCATACGAATTGTGTATACGAATCCCTGTTTGTTGTTGGCATAAATTCAATTGATCCTTTACTCAGTATACCTCGGCTTCTCTTCCACAGAGATAATTTAGTTCACTGTGTTTGAGCCTTTTCATACTGGGCCACTTTACCGTAGAGATCACTGAGGAAAAGTTGAGGCTAATTTCTGTGGCAATCCACTAACATAGTTAAGCTCCAATTGCTTAATAGATTACAGTCAAGAAGTGTCGAAAAATCTTTGAAATTCCAGTTTAATTGAATCTAGCCCCAAAACACAAAGCATTTTCACAAGTACTGTAAAAGTGCCCACACCCGAATGTCGTATTTGTACATCATTTCGTTAATATCGAAAAAATGTGAAATAGGATTAGAGGTATTCCGTGTTCTAGAGAGAACGAAATACTTGATTGTTAATTCTAACTGCTTACGTTTTGCACTAATCATTTTATTTGTTAATTGTCCACAGTCCAAATTCTAAGTATTTGGATGAATGCATAGCTCACACACACACACACACTGAAATACCGATTAACCAATATAAAAGAAATCCCTATTGATGAATGAACACACCAAATGCGTGCCTTCTCTCTCATAAACAGACAATATTTGTTTCCACGTAACAGAGTAAAAGCCCTTCGCTTTGAGTCGAAGCGAAGGAACACCGGAATCGACAAATCCACTCAACTGATAGGCTTTTCAGAAAAACTGGTGCACAAGGTTAAAGATAAATAATGGTCACCATTGGCCATATGAGATCAACGGAGGTCAACAGGTCAGTAAGAATAAATAAATAAATCATAAATAAGTCTCAGCTAAGGCAATATAAATCTTTGTTATACAGGGTGCCCCCAAAAAAATGTATATACATTTAAAATATTTTGACCCAGACACTGCTGAAAATGCCAAGCAATGGAATCACACACACACATCATGAAGTAATTCCCTTGAGATTTGGACGCATTCATGCTCAATGGTTTCTCTTATTTCAGTTATTGTTGCAGGTTTCGTAGCGTGGACTTTGAGGTCTGTTGAACGAGAACAAAACCTCTTCATCCAACTGCATGTTTGGCAAGGCCTCATCAAGGAAAGACCTAGCATCGCGATGGTAATATGGGGGTACCTCGTCTTGCTGAAAATGAAACTCTTCATCTTCATAGCCTTCTCTAATGCTTGGCATAACAGTCTACTGCAGAAGGTTCAAGTAAATTGGACCGGTTACAGTAGATTCAAAAAAGGAATGGTCCAATAAATTATCTTGATGATAAGCCGCAACACACTGTAATTCCAAGTAAATTGACATAACTGTCGACAGTAACGTGTGGCTTCTCAGGTCCCCAATAGGTACAATCAAGGCGGTTAATGTAACCATTTAACTTGAATGTGGCCTCGTCACTCCACACGACCTTTCGTGAAACAACTACTTTTCGCACATGCTGTACTCTTTGTTCTAGAGCATCGTCTTTACAAATAAACAATATAATGATACTTGTAAATACTTGATACACATTTGAAATAATGAAATTATAATAAACACTATGTTGGCAATTATTTTAAGCGTGTATACATCTTTTTTGCGACACCCTTTATATTGGCAAAGAAATAGTGATTGACAAGTTGAACAGGTTAGTGGAAAGCGACATCATAGATAATCAGACGCCCAAAAAAGTGGTGCTAGTGGAGAGCTCAAATTGGGTCCTAAGAGAGCACAACCCAATTCTCAAAATCAAATGAGACAAGACTCAAACCCTTGTTAACTTCAGTGTTTACACCTTTTTGATTCACTTATTTCACCACCTATTGGAATTTCTGCTACTCGAATTCAATTGCTCTCCTACAATTCAGATTTGCATGTATCTCTGTTTTTTGTGTGGCCTATAATCACAATTTCCCGATCATTTTAACGCTACTCCTGATATCTGGAAACAAAAGCGCTTCAGTCATCATATTATTTATTTATATTAAATGGCAGGCGTTTTGATAGTTATCATTTGCCCTTTAACTGACTACAGGCTTCACAGAGGGGAGTAGGAACATCAAACTGGGAAAAAAAGTCGAGAGGGAGGAGGAACAGAAGGGTGTTTCAAAGATGTAAAAGAGACAGACACAAAGTTGGAAAAAAGGTGAGGTGAATACTGTGGAAGAAGTCGAATATGACATACAGTGGGGTCATGGCAGTTTGAAGTCAGAAGTCAACTGGCGGTTTATAGACTTTTTTGCCGTATGAGTATACGTTGCCCAGGGTGCACCACATGGAGGTAAGTCTATCGCACACCCCGTCATCATATTATAAATACTGACAAACACAAGTTGAGAAAGGCGTTCATGTGACCCAGATCTGGACTGAGCAAATCTCGTCTACAAGTATGCTGTCACCTTGGGTGCCTTACAGTTAAGGAAATAATTTTAAAATTATGCAATAATAAATTCAATGAAAACGGACAGAAAGACATATATTTTGTCCTCATTGAAATGGTCGCTTTTCTGATTCAATGAAAAAATAAATGTTAATTGATTTTGCACCAATTTTGGCAACACTTATTGCTTGAACTTAAATGTTGTTAGGAGGGCAAGGAGAATGACAGGGAGGATTTGGCTTATTTTTCTAATTCTAATTGACGCTCTGCCAATAAACAGTTGACTCATTAAAGTTGGTCAGTGCCAACCAGATTCAGATACCTCTCAAAGATGGCCCTATAAGAAGTCAACTTGTTGAAAAATATCCATATATTCCCGAACATTAGACCCAAGTTCAATTCTATTTACCCATTTAGAACTCCGTTATTTGCTAAGAATTCTCTTTTTTCTGATGTCCTGGGGATAAAACAACCACAATTCACCGAGTTTGTTGGTCTTAAAGAGTAGAGAGTGAGCTAAGGTAACGACCTTGGAAGTTCGTTCGATATCCAATAAGGTTTATGAATTGAATAGATATTATGACAGGGGTGGTGACGGTAGTCTACCTTTATATTTTGCACTATTTAATACATCCAAATAGACCTTTCTATATCTTATGTGAGGTGGGCGATAGACTTGCCTCCACGTGGTGCATCTAGGGCAACGTATACTCTTACGGTAAAAGTCTATAAACCTGTAGTTGACTTCTGACCTCGAACTACCATGACCAAACTCTATGTCATATTCGACCCCTTCCATGGTACTCATCTTACCTTTTCTCTGTCTTTGTGTCTGTCTGTCGCATCTGTGAATCATTACTCTGTCCCTCCCCCCTCTCGACATTTCGCCACTTTGAAGTTCCTCCTTCTCTCTGTGAAGCCCGAAGTCAGCTAGAGGGCTAATAATAACAATCATAAAGCTTACTATTCGAAATATCGTCTATTTCACCTACTCCTATAAATCATAGCGGCATTTTATGCTATGTTTTCTTATCCAGACGTTTCCCATCCATAACGAAATCTTTATCTAACTATGCATTCGAGAGTTTATCTAATCTTCTCTAGACACCATTCCTCAAAAAATTTTTGTCTCCAGCTCAATAACTAACCCAGTTTCTACATAAGTTATTTGGAAGAAACTAAACTTTCATTTACTAATTTAACAACTGTCCTCAAGTTCCATTAACTCAAACTAGATTAAGGCAAGTTCATGTCAGAATAATTCCACTTTAACCTATAATCACTAATTAATTTGGAATGGATGCTGGTAATTCCAAGATAGAAAGCGAAACTTTTAATGGATGCTAAAAAAGTATCGGCTACCTTGGCCCGAACATAGTTCACGTGAATCCCTTTAACGTTTCGGGGGGAATTTATATTTATAAATTAATTGGAAAGTTGGATTGCTCTACGCGATGAGAACTTGACTTGTAGTTCATCTTCGCAGTTCAGAAACGTTCTCACAATTTCAGTGTCACTGAAGATTTGAACCGCATGCATAAAAAAGATTACTCCTCAAGGTCAGTCATCTTCTTACTCATCCACAAGTTCTATTGAATAGTTTTATGACTGTTCGCATGGATTTAGTTTTAAGTAGGTAAAGTTGCGTTGACCTCAATGTGACCGGGTACCAAAATTACAGACGTCCAAATGTAATTTCTTTCTCGAGTGGGTACTGCTTAGAAAGTGCTCTCAACATTTTTTTCGAGCAAGAGCAATAAAATTTATGAAATATTGAATCTGAAACTTTACCATTGGCCAATTCACATTATACTACCTTTTGCAGCCTAAATTAATTCTCATTTCGAAGGAATACTCCTCACCCATATGCTCATAAAACATTAGTCCAAAATATGCTTATTTTCCTCATAATTAGAAAGCAGCGTTAATATGCATTTGGTAAATGCTTTAAATAGTTAATTACTGAAAGCAGTCTTTTTAACAATAGACCAATATGAGATTTAAAACAATTGAAGATTGGAAATTCTGGTATGGTTTAAACATCATAATTTTGTCAATTAATAATGTGGACCACCTAAGCAGATTATCGAACAAAGACATTTTGAAACACTACGTTAAAACCAATCGTGTCTTGCGCAAAAATACCTTCGAAAATGGTGAATTTGCAGTTATTGAATATATGCCTGATTTCAAATTCCTTCAAAAATAATCCGATTTTGGTTTTAATGTTTATTTTTTTATTTGCTCTTTATTTTCCTAAGCAAAATCTCATGTAATTTTACCGAAAGCAAATTTAAAATTGAGTTCTCTGAAAATTGTAACCATGCACTACACGTTATCTATAAAATGGCTACTTATTAAATTTAGTAATAGATATCCAATTTCGGAGAAATGTGAACATAGCCAATAAAAGGAACTCCTATTTAAATGGCCACACTCACATTAACACTGGCGTCGCAAAGGGAGTCAATTAGACAATATTTGTCAATTATTTAAATTGTCTACTTTAAAGAAGGGAGACTTCAGCGACCTGTAACCTCTAACCTTGATGACGAGCGCATTTTGCAACTGCAGAAGTGTTACAATGGGGTGTTATGCCCAATTCAGTCGACGCATTATTGCAGAACTTAATAAGGCAGGGCGTATTTCAAGAGCTAAGGAGTGCGCGGTAGAGTTACCTCCACGTGGTGCACCCTGACAAAAAAGTCTATAACTCGGCAACGTATAACCTTGGACAACGTATACTCATACAGCAAAAAGTCTATAACTCGGCATTTCACTTCAAATTATTATGATCAGTTTGAAACGAAGCTATAAGAGAAATCGCCCTTATCAGGACGAGTCACAACTTCCACAGTTCCTTCAGTGGAATGCTGGAGTGATGTCACAGGACAAGAAGACCAAAATCCAGAAAATCCTATATACCTATGATATACACATATTCACAATCATTGAAGCCAACTTTACGGATGTCAAACTCAAATACTACCTATTCCTAGGTTACACCTTAAAGTTGCAAGTGTAATTCTGACTGGAGTAAAAGAAGGCCTCACATCACATTAACGATTTAATCACGAGTATGGGTTCGACACAAGACTTATGTGAAATAATCAGATTAAATGTTAGGAAATGTCAAAACCACTTCGAGATATACGCAGTCTATAATCCACCTCAGAATAGTCCTAACTTTAATCTTCTGAACATCTCACACAAAACTGTAGTATTAGGAGACTTCAACGCCCATTCCACCAGATGGGGCTCTAAGAATATAAAAATAGCTGGAAAGGAAATAGTAGACTTTCTTAACAGCAACAGTTTGGAACTTATTTATAGCAATGAGGAACCTGCAACATATCTGTACTACAATGGAACTAGAACAACTCCTGACTTGCACCTGGCTTCAACCGACATCAGCGAGCATACCCACAGCAAAATAATTGACGATCCTGGTTCTGATCACAAACCAGTCATTGCTTGTATTATGCCATCAGCAGCAAAAGCATGACACCGAAAATGCCAACTAAGCTATCCTGGAACTTCAAGAAGGCCGACTGGTCTAGATTCACAAACCTTTTGGAAAACGAACTTCACGCAAGTCCCATCAACTTCAACCAACAGTCTGACAAACTGTGCAACGATATCACGAATATTATGATTAGATGTGCAAGGAAAATCATTCCCAGAGGCAAGACTAAACACTATCGAGTGTTTTGGTGTCCCCGAGGCAAAACTAAACACTATCGAGTGTTTTGGTCTGAACAATATCACGAATATTATGATCAGATGTGCTAAGAAAACTATTCCCATATGATCAGATGTGCAAAGAAAACTATTCCCCGAGGCAAATATAAACACTATCGAGTGTTTTGGTCTAGGCACCTTGAGGAAGCCTATCGAGTGTTTTGATCTAAACACCTTGAGGAACTGAAATGAGTGTTTTGGTCTAAACACCTTGAGGAACTGGAAAGATAGTGTTTTGGTCTAAACACCTTGAGGAACTAAAAAGAAAGCTGTTTTGGTCCAAACACCTTGAGGAACTGAAAAGAAAGAGAACTATTCCCCGAGGCAAAACTAAACACTATCGAGTGTTATAAAACACCTTGAGGAACTGAAAAGAAAGTGGGACGCCCTTCTCAACACTGCTGAACACGCTGGAAGAACGGAAGACATACAAGCCTGGAGACGGCAGTCAGCTATCCTAAGCCAAGCCATCTACAAGCTAAACGAACTATCTTTACTATGGCAAGCCATCTTGCAAGCTAAACGCACTTCTTTCGAATCTCAAATATCAACTATCAAAGTGATACCCAACGCACTTTCCAACAATATCAACTATCAAAGTGATAGCCAACGCACTTTCAAATTTCTGGAAAGTGATAGCCAACGCACTTTCAAATTTCTGAAAAACCTGCTGCCAACGCACTTTCAAATTCCTGGATAACCTCCAAAACAATAAGGAAAGACCCAAGAAAGAACTAATACGCTTAAATAAAAAACCGTTTACCACCGACTCCGAAATAACGCTTAAACAGCAAATTGCTTACCACCGACAACGAAACAGTGCTTTGCGAGGTTCTATTCCCACAAGCAAAAGAAAAAACCCTTTTGTCAGAAAATCTTCGAGAGATATAAAGATACAAGTAAAACAGTTTGGTCAAATTAAACAAGACAACAATGCCAAATAATGTATTTACTGAACCATTAAGATCTTGCAAACTTAATGCTGCAATAAAACAGCTCAAGTGCAAAATGTCTCCTAGCGAAGACGGTATTCATCCGAAATTTCTAATTAGAAAGGGGCCAAAAGCCAAGGAAACCATGCTGACTCTTTTCAACAAAATCCGGGAGACCAATCTCGTACCTAACCAATGGAAAGTTGACATAGTAATACCAGTACTAAAAAAGGGCAAAGACACTAGCAACTTTGACAACTATAGGCCTATCTCCCTCACAAGCGAGCTGGCTAAACTTATGGAAAGAATGGTTAACAGGAGGCTGACCTGGTTCCTTGAGACCAACAATATTCTTAGGAGTGAACAAGCAGGTTTTAGGCCACAAAGATCAACAAATCAACAAGTAGCCACTTTCTCCCAACATATCAAAGATGCCCTTGATGCAAATAAGACACTTACGGCTGTATTCATCGATTTCAAATCAGCATATGACTTAGTATGAAAAGAGAAGCTAATTCTAAAATTGATGAAGATTGATATAAATATCCATTGGACAAAGATCATGTAAAGTCAGATATGGAAATGCTATATCAAAATCTAAACTTTTACAAAGAGGCCTTCCACAGGGAGCTGTCACAAGCTTCATTCTTTCCAATGTTTTCATCGATGACATAGCCGAACTAGTACAGACAGTCACGGGCATCAAGTGCTTATTTTATGCAGATGATCTTGTTCTATGGTATTTCGCCTCCAAGAAAAACGCTCAGGAGAGGACGGAAAGTGCCCTAAATTATGCACTCAAACTATTGGCAAACTGGTGCGACAACAATGGAATGGTAATCAACACCGCAAAAACTGCATTCCAAACATTTCCATTGGCTCGCCACAGCATAAGCCCCCATTTAAGGGACAAGGATACTTTCCTAGAAAAAACCAATGAATTCGCTTATCTCGGAATGACGTTTGACACAAGGCTAACATGGAAAAGTCACATTGTTAAAGTAGCAGGACGAGTTTCCAATAGACTGAATGTACTGAAGTGTCTTGCTGGTAGCATATGGGGCTGTGCGCGCTCAACCCTAAACGCTACTTACAAGATATTTGTTCAACCAATAATGTTGTATTCCTGTGAGCCACTCATTACAGCCACAGAGGTGACTCTCAAACCACTCGAGAAGGCACACAACCAAGCATTACGACTAACTACTGGAGGGATAAAATCAACACCTATTGATGCAATGCTCCTAGTTACAGGAAGCACCACAATAGGTTCCCTTATCAAAGAAAAGGCCTTGATCCTGTATGAGAAGCTACTGCGCATTCCCATGGACAAGTTCTTCAGCACCTATGAGAATAGACCAAGACATCTGAAAACGCAATCTGGTCTAATACAGAAAGCCATAGAACTGAAGAAAGAATTACAAATCGATGACTAGCTAAAAAGCCTCCCCCTACTGTGTTGCATCCAACTCCTTGACAATTTCAGCAAAGCAAACACCCCACCAGAAAAAATGCGCTCAATGAAAGCAAACACCCCACCAGAAAAAATGCGCTCAATGGACCTTGAGACAATCAATGTCAACTATCCTGGAGATCAATGGCTTTAAGTCTTCACTGATGGGCCATGCGTAGAAAACTAAACAAACGTTGGTACAGGTGTTTACTCTGAACTATTCTCTTTCTACGCAGCAGCGGGACACAATAGATCCGCGTTCGAAGGGGAAATAGAGACCATTAAGATAACACAAGGCCAGTTATATTGCCTGGATGCGAAATCCACCCAAGCAGTAATCCTTTCGGACTCACAATCAGCAATAAACTCAATTGGAAACAGAGAGCCACCCAAAAGCTGCAATAAACTCAATTGGAAACAGAGAGCCACCCAAAACAGTTGAGATATACGAATGTAAAAACGCTATCAGCTGCTGAGAGAAAAACAAACCAGTGCTTCTACAATGGGCCGAAGTCAACTAGTTGATTAATAAAAAATATCATAAAGCCTGCCATTTGAAATAATAATAATTTCAAGGGCTAACGAATTATACCTGTCACAGCCGCGACTGTAACTGACTTGATCCAATCAAGCGCTGCTCATAAAGTAACCTATCGTCCAACCAAATTAATGCTGGCACATGAGACAGAGAGACCAATAAACGTTAACTATTGTCCCTTTTGCTTCTCCAGCCAATCACAGCGAAGTTACGGAAGGTAAATAGCGGCCAAAGTTAACCAATAGACATCTTGGTTTCTATTACTTGTTCTCCCCTCCTCGTCCCGCCCTCTACTATAGCTTAACAACTTCTGATGGAAATTTGAATTTGGCCTTTACTATTAAAATGCGCACGGTCTTTAAACATTGATAGATCCTCACGATGAATTTATAAAATTATTGGACATTTTGGGTTTTTAATTCCCCAAAAGGTAGATATTCTCGCCTCCTACGTGGGTTGACAATACCAATTATATCTTTATCTTGTAGCTAGCATGATCCCGATTTACTTTAAATTGTCTTGTCAAAAAATAGATACTTAACCAGTACTCGAAAAAGCGAATGAATTACAAGAAACAATTGATGTTACATGCTTGCATTTGTTATCCTTCAATGTCTCATTTTCGTTCAATTGATTTTGATTCCTTTTGGACTTCCTTGATCGTTCCGGAACTTCTGGCTAAAAATAAAAGAAATTAAATATATGTTAGAATAAATGGTGTTAAGAAGGAAAATATATTATTTATTTATCACATCTTATTTTGTGCTTAAAAGGAAATTGCGTTGATATAGACTAGCATTTAATTAATATCTATTAAATTAAATTAATTATAATTACACTTCATATTTTCCCCTATTTTACTTAAACAAATCTGCCATTTGAAATAAATTTAATGTATTTATAAACACTGAGATTCTGTATAGACTTTATAAGATATTAATTTTAACTTTCAATCACATAGATTTTTCACACCTTATCGCGATGCTTCCAGACCTTTTACATTACATTCCCTGTCTCCATTTAAATATTTCATCCAACGGTTGTCTTCTGCCTGTCTTTTGGAAATGGAACATGGTACCGAAAGTCGTCTCTATTCTAATTTAATAACTTTTTCGATTTGGTCTCGGGGCAGTGACTTTATTGGGATTTCACAGTCTCTCCATTTCGTTTTGAGTTATTTTCTCAAGGAATATCAGTACCCGGGCTACGCAAATGTGTGGGACACGTTATCGCTGTGTGCGTCATCGTATGCCTGCATGTCTGCTCGCCAGGATTGGGAGGTGCGGCCGTACAACTCTGTGTGCAGCGACCGTACAAACAGTGACCAATCATCAACCTCTGTCTGTTTCCTTTATAGCTGGGCTATAGCTTAGCTGGTTCTGGGAGTCTAGCTAGATGTTGGAGAATTTGCCATAGAGATTTCTGAGTCGGTCAGGCTTTACTAGCGTAGCAATCCGCTATAAATATACTGTCACATATAAAATGGGTGTGAAACTCATAATATAAATATTTATTTATTTATAGCAAATGGCAGGCGTTTTGGTAGTTATCATTAGCCCTTTAGTTGAGATCGGGCTTCACAGAGGGGAGGAGAACATCAAAGTGAGAAGAATTCAGGAGGGTGAATAGACTTTTTTGCCGTATGAGTATGCGTTGCCCAGGGGGTCATGGTAGTTTGAAGTCAGAAGTCAACTGCCGGTTTTGGGGTGATGGCAATTTGAAGTCAGAAGTCAACTGCCAGTTTAGACTTTTTTGCCGTATGAGTATGCGTTGCCCAGGGTGCACCACGTGGAGGTAAGTCTATCGCACACCCCATAATATAAATATATATCTTAGGATGC